CCATGGTTTCTCTCCGAAGAAGCACAAAGTTACTTAATCCGAGACAGGAACGATGTCTTAATCAAGGTCCTTGGGTTACTAGGCACCCGGGTGGGTTTTGCTGTCCATCACCCATTTTCCCGTCTTCTGGAGAGAGCATCCAAGCTTTCTTTGGTCCAAGAACTGAGTATCAGAGCCCAGGCCCATCCTTGCACTGTATCCTCCTGGCCCAGTGATTGGTTTGGGGATGGACATGTGATCCAGGCGGGCCCAATCACAATAGATCCAGGACCCGCACAGGAGCAACTGAGGACAAAGCTCTCCCCCCTTGAACTTGAAGCAATACAAGCTGGTATGACTGGATTCTCTTTGGTAAGTTAAAAGATGGTGTTCACATGGAATTTTTACCCCACAACATGAGCTTCGGGCTGTGGAGGGATTTTGCTGAGAGGAAAATGTATTACTGCATGAAATCCAAGTATAAAGTAAGCCAGTCCTCACAAGACGTTAAACCAAAGAGGAAACGCCACTGTGAACCAGGCTGCATGTGGTGCAGTCTCACTTCTAGGCGTGTAGCTTCCTCGTTCCTCTGGCTGTCTCTCAAGAATGGCTTCTTCCATGCGCTACATACGAGGCAGAAAAGGGAGTCCCTTCCTGAGCTGCTTTATCCCCTTCAGCTCCCTCGCCTCAGTATCTGACCAACCCACTCATACCATCCACTCCGGACACCTTGCTCAGGGATCCAGTGCTGGTCCACCAGATCTGACCAGAACAGTGGGATCACGTGGGATCAACTTTGCCACAGAGATCTATCCGGCAAGTAGGGGATTAAGTTTCTAAAGCATGAGCTTACAGACACTCTCAAAATGTCTAGCATACATGAATATGGACGTTGGCTTTTGCATTCGCAATGAAGCAAAGATTCTTACCTTGGTGGAAAGATACAAAGGCTATTTTTATGAGACAGGGCCCTGGCACCTCTGAAAATGGCCGCTGTCCTCGACAACCAAACAAATCAGTCCACTCTGAAAGACGTCCCTGTGAGCGAATTCACTCAGCAGTAAGGAAGAAGAAACATAATCTGGTTTGACTAGCTCCCACTGCTCCTCCTAATGTTATCAAAATTCCAAAAAGGAGTCAACCACCCTCAGGAACACGGTGGTGCAGGGGGAGGTTCTCAACAACCTTCAATGGCTCCCACTTTCTTTCGTACCAGTCCTCACTCCACCGCTGTTCTCCACAATGTTCCAACTCATAAAACGTTTTTAACTCACTTTACCCCAACAGCATTCTTCATTCTAGCCCATCACTCCCTATCTCCTAAATATTGTAGCTTGTGTCCATTTTTCCCTCCTTATTAGCTGTGACACAATGGGAAAATGACTTCACCTTTGGAGCCCCAAAAAGGTGATAGGGTTAGGGATAATAACAATACATGCCTCAAATCTGACACTATCTACCCCAAATACAAAAATACAAAAGTATTTACCCTTTAACACAGCAATATCATTTCTAGGAATCTGTCCCACACATAGACCCGCACATGTATGAAATGATGATTGTGGGATTTATTCATCGTAGTATTATTTGTCATTACAAAATATTGAAAGCAATCCAATTGTCCATTGGATAAACCATGGTATACGCATCTCCTAAATATATTAATCCAAAAAAGCAAGGCACAAAAAAGTGTGGCTTATGGTATAATAAAAATAAATATTTGATCTTTGTCCCCAGTTCCTGGCACAGAGCTCCTAAAACCTTTGTGATTTATTGTCTTTTGTATGCTACTGAGATGACTTGTGGTAGGGGTCTACATGTCTTCAGGGTGGGGGCTGATGCCAGAAAGACCAGCCATGATAAAGGGTTAGGACGTTCAGCCCCCGGTGACCTCCCAGGAAGGGGGAGGGGCTGTGATTGAGTTTAATCACCAGTAGCCAGTAATTTAATCAATTACGTCTACATAATGAAATCTTGATTTTAAAAAATGGGGTTTGGGAGTTTCTAGGTTGGTGTACTGAGAAGGTGGTGAGCTCAGAAAGGGCATGGAAGCTCTGTGCCACCATGACCCTCCCCCCGGCCAGTAAGCTGTCCTTTGCAACTCCTCCATTAGGATCCTGAGTTGTATCCTTCACAGTAAAGCTATAATTATGCGTACGAAGCTTTCCTGAGTTCTGTAAGTCATTCTTGTGAATTATCAAATCTGATGGGGGGCAAGGTTGTGGGAACCCCAAAATGTGTAGGTCAGATAGAATGTGTAGGTCACCTGGGGACCCCATTTGCACCGGTGTCTGAAGTGGGGGCAGTCTTGTGGGACTGAGCCCTTAAATGTGTGATCTGAGACTCACTCCAGATAGGGGGTGTCAAAATTGAATTGAATTGTTGGACACCCAGCTGGTGTCACAGAACTGGAGAATTGGTGTAGAAAAATGACATTACTTGTCATCAGGAAAAAAACCTACACATTTGGTATAAAAAGTGGTATCAGAAAAAATTCACAGTGTTGTATGCTAACTTTTGCCTAAGAAAATAGAAGCAAGACTTTGTTTGCATTTGCCTGTATTTTCACAATGAAACAGTGGAAGAGGAGACCAGGAAGCAATACAAATGATTACCTAGAGCAGAGAGGGGACCAGACTTCCCTATATATAATCCTTTTTGTAGTTTTAATCTGTAAATCATGTAAGAGTATCACTTCTACCCTCTTCCTGGGGCTGGTACACATCCAACACCAAGCTAACCAACGGGGACATTCATCTGCTATGAGATTCACTCTGGAGGAAGAGGTGGAGACCCTGGGAACCTTGTGAGATGAGCAAAACAAGCCCCCAAGAAGGGTCTGATGTTCCTACAGAGGATGACAGTCCCCCTGCACACGGTGATGGCCGTTGAGCCAACGCTGGGAGCCACACTTGGCTCTGGTGGTTCTTGTCAATTGTGTAGATAAATAGGAAGTTGACATAAAGTAGCCTTATGATGGAAGTCCATTCAAGTAAAAGATGGAAGAGGCGAAACGGGGGAGAAACAGAAGGGGAGGCAAAGAAAAGGCAGAAAGCGAGGAAGAGAGCGGAGGCAGCAAGCTCACGTTCGTTCGTTGGCGCCGCCCGTCCCAGGAGACTCTTTCTGACATGAATTTTGCATACCTCCCCCAACCTCTTGTCGTTCGCTTCAGTACCACATTGTTCTGGAATGCTGGAGGGGGGGATGAGGCGCGCCTGGCAGAAGGGCAGGTGCCTTCATTCATCCTCGTCCCTGACAGTTACCGATTCTGATAATTTCCCTGCACTAAAAACCACCCAGATCTCAACAACTCTGAGCATTCCTGCCAGCAAAGAAAAAAGAAATTGCATATTCAATGATTGAAGGGCCCCAGTGGATTTATAATGGTCTGAATAACAGGTAACTTGATTTGCTTAAGCTTTGAGATACTTAAGAATTCATATAAAAGAATTTTAGAGAATACATGTCTTCCGGGGAGGGGGGGGGAGTGATTATCCTGACAATTTCTATAAATCAAATTCTATTACTTTGAGGAACATTCTAAGTTCAAAGATATGCTTCCATGAGAAACTTTTAGTGAAAATAGGAGCTGGTGACTTGAGTTCAGGGCAAAACTTTGAAGACTTGAAGACTGTATCTGATGCCGTGGGTGAGTTCAGGATTGAAAAATGTTTTCTACCTGCATCGTTTCTTTCTGTTTGACCTCTGGATAGAGCTGTGAGGTAGGCGGGACCGGAACTGTCACATCCATGTTACAAACAGGAATCTGAGGCTTAGTTTAAGGCTGGTCCCCCTCAGGGATTTGGTGGCAAAGCCAGGTCTCCAGACTCAATAGCCCCTCCTGCTGAGCGTCACAGACATGCAACCTGGGCAGGTAACGGAGCTCATACTCAGCAGTGCTTGGTTTTAATGCTCTGTGATCGCCATCTTAAAATTCTCAATACTTCCGAACCAGAAGCCCTGTATTTGCTTCCTTGCACTGGGCCCTGCAAATCCTGTAGCTGGTCCTGCTCACAACTCCGTGGACGCCCCCCTATTCCTCCACCCAGATCCCAGAAACGCCTATCACGCCTGGGACTCGACTGCTCCTGGCTCCCGGAACCCCTCAGCTCTCCAGCCCCTTCCCCATGGGTCTGTGGGATTCCAGGCCCTGAGTCCTCCCGAGAACACTGGCAGCTCCTCCTGGGCCGCTTCGCATCCTGCAGAATAAATGAGTTGCCAACTCTTATCAGTTCATCAAAGTCAAAACTCTCTAAAACGAGTTTAATTAAAACCAGGGGCTCTTGGGTTTTCTCAGATTCAATGCGAGGAAACCCACTCAGAATACTGAATTGCTCTTTGCTTGTTAGCTGGGTCTCTTTGTCCAATTCCGTGTCTCTGATGGTCTCCAGTTCTTGACTCAAAACAAAGGAGAAAGAGGGAGAGAGGGAGGGAAGAAAATGAAGCGAGCCCACTGCCTTCCTGACACTCCCAACTCCCAGAGATGTCTTATGAGTCTTAAAGGCTTAAGAACATTGCAATTGGTATAGAAGATCAAACAAAACAGGGCCACTTCTGGCTACTTATTCACAAGAGCCGCCAGCAGCAAAGCAAAATAAAATGTCCATCTAAAAGCTGACGGAGTCAGCCGCTGGTTGCTGGCTGGGACTGTTCCCCCTCTGGACCCCCGCTCCGGCCCCTCCATGTCCTGTGAGGCCAGAACAGAAGCCTCTGCATCTTACAGGGGTGAACAGGGTGGTGCCAGGGGAAAAAGCCAACTCTCCCCCCAAATTTCTTTCCTCCCGAACGCCTTGAATGCTTTATCTTCCTCAGATGGTCCCCAAATCCCTCTCCTTCCTTAATATTCAAGCAACCCCTTGCTCATCTGGCTCCAAAATTGACTTTAGATAGATTCTACTTCTCGAACTGTAACTCTCTTCCTCTCCTGAGGTCCATGAAAAGTTGATGTGTAACCAGGCACATAACTCCAGCAAAAAAAAAAAACAACACCCCAAAAATCAGAGCAAACTTTGAGTTTTTATTATGCATTTGACAGTTAGTATTTTCTGAGTGTTAGCATCTGGATTTCTCACCGAGATATCATCTTGCCACTGAGCCCAGCCGTGCATATGCGTTTTAAAAATGTAATTCAAGCTCTGAGGAATACAAGCTTGGATTTGGGACCCAATTTAAAAAAACTCCCTACATACAGTGCTTTACTTTTAACAGAGCCACATAAAGGAGTTGGAGGAGAGAATAGTTTTGCAATAAATAATCGCTTCTCTAAACTGCACACGATTCTGCCAGCAAATCCCTTCCGTTTCTTTGGGGTTGATATTCACTTTTATACCTGGAATAACTTATGAAATACAGGGACTTTAACATTTAGTCAAGGCCAGCGCTGTCATTCACCATCTTAAATTTCCCCACATCGTGACCTTGCTCGCACTCAAATGCTGGTTCCCATTTCTCTGGCATCGGGGAAGGGTGGGGGGATGGAGGTGAGGAGGTGAGTGGCCTCTCCCCCACGATGACCTCACAGGCCGCATCACCCTTTGACACTCACAGTCATTTCAGCATGGCTGTAAGAGCGCAGCTGAAAGCGACCGTGAACCGTCAGTCATTACAATTCCCAGTTGTTGCCATTTATACAGATAAATAGAAATTTACATAATTTACAAAGACTTCGCGTGTGTGGCTTATTTTGAAGCCATTCCCCCAAAGATCCACATTTATTCACGAAACCAAATATGAGATTCCTCCTCATAGCCTTGAGCTGGGGCTGCCTTTCCAGCGGCTTCATGGGGACAAGGCGTTTGGTGCAGGGAAGTGGCCGTCTGCGGGGGGCTCAGAACGTTAGTCAGCTGGACAAGTGCAGGCAGGCTGCTGCCTGTCTCCGAGCTCAAGAAGACCCACAGCTAGGAATTTTCTCATTTTCTTGTCACAAACATCAAGGTTTCTTTTTTTTTTTTTTTTGAGATACATTCTTCCGGTGGGTACCAAGCACAGCTGAAACTTTCTGTCTATATCCTCAAGCTCATCAACTCCTGTACAGCTGGAGTCCATGTCTAATGCCGCCGCTGCCTGGCGGCCCACACTAGCCCACGTCGCACCTATGATCCATTAGGATCCCGCGGTCAGCATGCTTCCGCTCGCAGCAGCGATTCAAGTTGGACACGTGTTTACGTTTGCAAGGAGTTCGCAAATGTCTAGTCGAAAACTCTAGTTGAAAGCCAGCAACTGGCTTTGCAACGTGCTGTACCTCTCCCGAACCAATTTCCTGCATGAAACCCGAGCCTCAGGCAACAGGCCCCAGGGCACATCTGCGATCATTTTCCCCATTAGGGGAACCCCAGCCTTTTGGTTTGGGGCATTCTTGGTGCAGGGATGAACTCTTAGGTGAGGACCCTTTGGGTGGGTTTTCTCCCCCAGGCAGAACTCATTCTTTGTCTTCAAAGATGTGGGAATGTGAACTGTGTTGGAGCAAAGCTGAGGCCTTCCTAACACAGGATGCTGCGGCCTCCTCTCCCAAGGGGCTCCTGAGAGTCTGGGGCAGTGGGCGGGCGGCGCAGGGAGGACCACTGCCAGGCAGGCATTGGATGGTGGAGGTCTAATGCCTACTTGCTCTGTCTGCCCTTGACTTCAACCTATCTTGGAGAAGGGGGCGAAAGAAACAAAGGGGTTTTTACAAAAGGAGAGCTTTGTACTGGCTGAAAAAGGCGGTGTCTCCCCTCCCGCCGTCCCCTGCATGTGTAGCCTGGTCCCGCTTTTGAATCAAACCTCCTCGCCAGTGCTACTTGGCAATTTCAGAACCTGCCATCCACCTGGGAAGGTGTGAATAGAATAATACTAGCCGACGCGGCCACCAGGAGCCGCAGCCTGGTCCCACCTTTGATTATCACAAGCTCAGGACAGCAGCAGCGGGACCTCTGAGAATGTGAATTCAGAATTATTATACTAACTTGAGCCTTGCAAAAAAGTAAGTAGGGACATTGTCTTATAAGGAAAACCTTTTTCTTCCCAAGTAAACTCCTATGTAAGGAGCTTTCTGGGACCCAGTGGGACACCTGTGCCACCATTCTCATGTTCTGAACATTCCACAGAGCAACAGTAACAAAAATAGCAAAGTCAAGGTCATGCTCTTTCTGTGCAGGCTTCTCTGCCGTCCTTGAATGCACCCAGCACATTCCTACCCCAGGACCTTTGCACTTATTGTTCCCCTGCCTGAAACTTCCTTCCCTCCCTCATCCCTTTGGCTCACCCCTCACTCACTTTATGCCAATGTCACCTGGCCAGAGAGACTGCCCCTGTCCACCCAATGCCAAATTGCAACCGCCCCAACACTTCCCCTCCCTGCTCTGCTTCCCTGCTCTCCTGCACACATCTCACTCTGTATTTTATGCATTTGTTTGCTGTCTGCGTCCCCCACTATTTAAGCTCCATGAAGGCAGACAGACTCTTTGCCTTGTTTCCTGATGTGTCCCCAACATCGAGGACAATGCTTGCTGTGTCACAGGTGCCCAACAAATCTTTGCTGAATGAATGCATGAGTGAATGAATAAATGATGCCATGGATGGATGGTTTTAATCACATCCGTCCCTTGCTGAGAGGAGGTTGGGTCTGGGGTGAGGAGCGAGAAAGAAGAAAAAAGAATAAAGAGGCAAATCGGGGACCAGCTGGGGCCTGACTCATGCTCTCCAGGGACCCCTCTCCGCTGCCTCGCCCCCTTCCTCTGCATTTTTATTATGGATGCTGACAGATCCCTCTCTGGGCAACTAGAAATGATCTGCCGCCGATCTGGAAAGCCTCCTGTATACTGAGCCTGGTTTAATCTTCCCTTGATCAGTCCCTGTAGGAACCCAAGACACCTCCAGGCGACTCATAGGAACACAAATTACCATCCCGTTGCAGGGGTGTAGGCGGGTCATTAATAATAAGTCCTGATTGATAGAATGACAAATAAACCCAGTTTGGCTGCAGGAAACCCTGAGGATCTCATACAAATAAGACAAGCAGGTTGAAAAAAAATAGTAAAACAAATTTGAGGGGTCTTGGGGGGCCTGCTGCCCAGGTGCTATAATCTACCTCTGTCCAGAGGCAGTGGCTCAAAAAACGAAACGACGGTTTTTCTGTAAAGACCATGTTGCTACGGGAAGAGAGGTGAACCGTGGGGCCCCTGTAATGGGTCTCTGTGGGCCCCAAGCAGATCGGTCGGCGGGCTTTGTCCAGGCCCAGCGAAACCCAGGGCTGGACATCACTGCTCGAAAGCCACAAGGTGCAAGGGGTCAGCTGTGAAGGCACAGGGTGGTCTGGCTAGGGGCAGGGCAGTGACCAGCCATCTACGACTTCAGCCTGTTCTGTCTGTCCTCAGAGACCATCTACCAAAGGCACCGTGGCCTGTTACGTGCGTGGCACCCCACGGACCACCTCTCAGGCCATACGCCACCCCCACATGTCCTCCATGCCCCACCAAGTGCAACACCAACGAACGTAGCTTCACCTCCTTGGACGCTGGCCTCCGTCGGCACCGCTGGCCGTCAATTCTTCTTGGTCCAGTTTTTCTGCTGCCCCTGAATACCTGTAGGGAGGGGGCTGGTTTTAATGAATCACCCTGCATTTCCTCGGGGCTGGTTGTTCAGTGTCGGGTTATGACTCTCTCTTCCCCAGCACATGAGCGCAGCCCCCAAGGACCGCGTCTCAGGCGCCATTTCTGAAGGCTGAGCACGCAGTGGGGGGATGGTTACTCATGCCTCAGTTATTCATCAGATGTGAAAGAAACAAGAAGAAAAATGTGGTTGTCATTGGGGTTTCCAGATAGTAAATCCTGGGTCCCTGGCCACCGTGGCACCTGTTCTGTCTGTGTTTCTTGTGCATGCACAGGATGACCCCTGAAGGTCCCGTCCCAGCACCCTGGCCCCGGGAGGGGTCGCCCAGGGTGGCTGTGCCTGCTGGGTGGATGAGTTTGGGCCCCAAGTAAAGAAAAGGGGAAGTGAGGAGCACCAACAGGAATACCCATTAAATGAAAACTAACTTACACAGCCACCCCCGGTCACAGCAGGGCCCGCTTACTCATTTGAGTCATCACTGAGTCACAAGCTCCCCTCCAGCAGGGTCTCAAACTCAGGGCCTCCGGGGGCCACAAAGTAAGATTATGGGGAATGCAGGTAAACAGATACTGCATGTCCCCCTCAAACGGGAGTGGTCCCCACTCAGTTCCAGCCTATACTGGCCAGGAGAGAATGTGGGGTCACTGATCCCAAGTGGTTCCATTGGCTGTTTTTGAAGAAGTTAAAAATACATATTTGGGAATGGGGGGGCCACGGCACAGGTAATTCTTCAATTTTTATATGTTGGCAATTTATTCAGGTTTTGGCAAAGCTGAACAAATACGTCTGGAGACCAGAACAAATACGTCTGGAGACCAGACCCAGCCATGGCCACAGTAAGGACTCTGTTCTGAAAGGCAGCCAGGAGATGGGGGTGGACTCCTGGAGCCGAGGGCCCACATTCCCTGTGCTCTCGGTCCCCCACGCCCCGGGCTGCAGACCCACCACGGTCAGGGCACGGGCGAGCACTCCTGCACTACTTGGCAGTTAGTCCAATGCTCTTGCACACAGCCTTGCCTGCCCCAGGACAGCTGGTACCCGAAACGAGTCCACTGGGAGGGTGGCGTACCTGCCAACAGCCAGAGTTCGGGCGCAGAAGAGCACACAGGCCCTGTCATCACCCTGCACACAAGCACAGCGTGGTGTCCACTTCAGGCGCTGGGGGCTCTGCAGAAACAGCCCTGCGGACCTTCTGCCACGGGAGTTTCCTCTGTAGTTGGACAGTCCATAAGGCACGGTCCGCCTGCAAAGGACAGAGCAGTGTCAGGGCCACGTCCTGAGAAGCATCCCGGCCTCCCCGGCTCGCGGGCACGGGGCTGGAGAGCGGGCAGGAGGGTGCCCACACAGCAACGAGCCGTGGTGCAGCGATGGCCCAGGGCCTGGTGTCCACACCATCCCCCTGCACTTTGGGTCTGAGGAAGCCTCTGGAGGGAGCCCTTCACCCCTCCTTTCTCCCCCAACCCTCAGAAAGGGTGCTGGGATGGAAGGGTTGAAAGATGGGGGGTCCTGGGGGAGATGGGGGACAAAGCCTGCAAAACCTTCAGGCTCTCCGGCAGGAGCTGGCAGATGCCCGGGAGTGCACGTGGCCAACTGCAGTCTTTTCAAGACCGAGCCGCGGTCCTCGCAGAGCAGTTCTGGGTTTTCCTCCTGAACCCAACCCCTTAACAGACATTCCCGCTGACTGGCACACTGGTGCCAGTCTTCGTCCTTGAGCCAACGCCTGGGCCTGGCCATCAATACGAAAATGACCTCTTCCTAACCTGGCAGCCTGAGGCCAGCCCTGGAACCACCCTGCCTGTCAGAGCATCTCCGGTGCCGACACCAGCCTTGCAGTCTGTGCTGTCGGGCCTACAACAATGCAATTACAGCCAGAGACGCAGCCTGGCCTCAAATGTCGCTTCCTTGAAGAGATAAAACATCAGAGGACCCTCTGTGACCTGTGAGGTGCAGCCGAAGGCAGAACAGGCCTTGGGGAAAGTCTTATGAAGAAAAAAGCCTGAAACTGTTTACCAATTTTGTTTATGGTTGGAGCTGGGAGGAGGGTTAATCGTGTCATTCGGAACAATAAACATTTAAATCTGTTTATTATGCTCGTGTACATCCAAACCATCGCTCTCCAGAAAAAAAGAGGAGAGGGTTGCCAGGCAGCTCAGTGGGAAAAAGTTAAAAGCATATGCTTAATACATTAGTACCAATGAACAGGGCTTGGGGGACAAATTACTAATAACCAGAGGAAACTTAGGTAATCAAAAGTCATCCTCCAATAAGTCTCGGTTCTCCTGCCCATCCCCAAGATTACTGCGAGCCTACAGAAGTGCCACAGCCATCCGCCTCAAAAGGAGTCCTGACATCTCTCTGCGCTGTCAAAGTCATCAAACTGAATTTACTTTAATTTGAAACACACGCCATGGAGCCTTGCTGGGTGAGGGCAAAGTGGGGGTGCCCCATCGTGACCTGATGCCTGAACGGAACTTCCTCCCTGCTGGGTTGGAGGTGAGAGCTAAGCCTTGTCACCGTATTATTATAAAGAACCTTATCGGGGATCCCCCCCCCCAGTGAAGGCAGAACCAAATGGAGCAGTCTGTGCTTCCCAAAGGGAGAAAGCCAACAGGGTCCAGTCCAGTTCTGAGCTGGACCTTTGCTAAAAACCCCATTTTTCCTCAGGAATGGGAAATGGGGGTGGGGGTAGCCAAACAATACAGACATTGTTGAGAGGCAGGATTTGGCCAAAGGTATATTTTTCCAGTAATAGGGCCACATTAAATATCTAAGTGCTGACATTAAACCCAGTCCCCCATTTCTTGGTGAAAATTACACTGGAGGACTAACAACGCTCCCATTTTTCCATCAACAGCAAGACCTGCCCTTCTGAAACTGCTGTCAACTGATGATGCATTCACGTGAGCAGAGCTGCTCAGCTTCGGGAAAACATGCAAAAGTGTCTCAAGTAAGGAAACGAGGCAATGCAGGATTTGTTAATAGAGAAATATCACGCTCTTCGCCAGCAGCCAAGTGCAAAGAGCTAGTGTGCAAATGAGACTTTGCTATTTTCAAGGATGTTCACAGAGAGGTAGGGCCCCTTCCCCTCCCCACGGTGCTACAGCGTGGAACCGCCTGCTCCGAGCCCCAGGTGATTGACACGTGGGCTCTGCAAGCTAGCCTGGGCGGGGTGGGGGATGATGGAAGCTGATGCACTGCCCCTAATAAGAGGTCCAGTTCCAGTGGAGCCCACCTCCCACAGGTCAAGCATGCATAGGTTTTAAATGAATCAGAGAAGCTCTTAAATAAGAGTTCTGTCCTTTACCTGAACAAATATGGCTTCAAAACACCTGGAAGTTCAGGCTTAAATTAAGAATTCTGAGGCTCCTTGGAGTTCCATGTTGAAACATGGCAGCCCAAGGAGATTCTGCACCTTTTTTTCTATCCTGCTCCATCCCACACCAAGGGGGGGAGGGAGCCTCACCCACCCCCATACGAATGCACCCCCCAAGCTCCAGCTACCCCTCCTCCTATAAGCAGCCACCCCTTGGCCACCCTGTGGGCCTTGGGCTATGCACCTGGAGCCTTGTTCTGTCCCTGGATGTCAGACCTGGGAAGACACACGCACAGGCCCTTGAAGTGGACCTGGGAACATTGGGTAGGAGATCCCAGGATCCTGAATATTGGAACACAGTCTAGGAGAAGGGATACTGCGTGGCTGTCAGTCCCATGGACTCCGCACAATGGGTGGGAGACAGGGTGAGAGGAGGGGCAGAGGCAGCCCTCTAGCCCACAGGGCCCGGGGCAGGCGTCTTTCTTGACGAGCTCTAAGTGGATCACCAGCTCCTCGAAAGTAGGAAGCAGGTATTCTTCTTTTGTGTCTGCCACGGACTTAGCACAAGGTGGGACAAATGAAGACCACTGCTTGAGTGACTCATAATTAATTGTGAGATAATCTAGTCCAGCAATTCTGGGTTCTTTCCAACCTAAAAAATTCAATAACCATGAAATTCCATCAAAAAAAACCTCTAACATTTGCCAAGCATCCACTCTCATATATATAGAGAGGATGCATATATAGAGAGAGGATATATAGAGAGAGAGGATATATATAGAGAGAGGATATATATATATATATATATATATATATATATATATATATATATATATATATATGTATATATATGAGAGAGAGAATACCTAGTATTACTCTAAGTGTTACTGAGATACTCAAAGACATATGCATGTCTGATGTCTGTGCCTTTGGGAGTTCACATGCTACCAGGGTGTGAAAACAGGTAAAGGAAACGTTACAAGCCAATGGATACAGGTATTTGCAAGGTACACAAGAGCACAGAGAAGGGTTATCCGGCAATTCCATCATTCTGTTGTAAAGCACTTACATGAAGATGACTCCACCCTCTCAACAGTTTCCTGATCTACAAAAGGGTTGTCAGACAGATTGGATGAGACACGGCACTACATGAAAAATGCTTACCAAAAGTTAGCTGTAAATTAATGTTTGCGACTGTTGTTTGCTTATTTGGTCTGGGAATTCAAGTGAGTTGGATCAGGCAGAAAAGCCCCACCTACCACATCTGCATTTGTGATGTGTGACTAAGCAATAAAGAAGCATAATAAGGAACAAGAGTACCATATGGTCGGTTGATCTGTCATTCAACACTTTCCCTCCAATAAGCACTTGTATTTCAGCTGCCTTGGTCCCCTTTGTCATTTACTGTTTCTTGAATGGTGAATTGGAAAGACCTAATGGTGGAACCGTGAAAATGAAGTTACATCGGCCAAGAGCCTTTGACTAACAAGAACGCTCTGCCCAATTGTTTTAGCCTATCAGGTTTGGAGCACCCTAGTCTGTGTTAAGAAAGGCATCTCTTCTATCTGTTAATGTTTCAGTTATAACACAGGGCTCCATACAAGAGAAGCAGATGAGAAGAGCAATTAAGAGAGCTTCACCAGCTCTTAGACTCAAGACCCCTCCAGCACACCTACATATGCAATGTCTAGTGTCGTGTGTCTTTGTGTAATAAATTGCCCCTCAACATATGCACTCAGAACATTCATGATTTGATCGGTGATGGTGATGTCAGGATCTTATTTATCACAGTGTTCCATATTTGCCACTTTTCCCCAAATGTTACATATAAACGTTATTAAATATTACACCTCCAAATTGCCCGTATTTATTCTTCATTGGCAGCATCACACTGAAAGCATTTTATTTCTCTCTACAAGAGGCTTTTAAATAAGGAAAGCTGACTTCTTTAAGATTCTGTTTTTAAATTCAGTGTTGCCTTTTCATAAGGGAATTCATGATCTCCAGCTTTCTAATGAGGAAACTTGCTTGTATCCCTGAATTTTAAAGGAGAGATGCAGATATTCTTAAAGGCAGTGAAGGGGCTTCACTGGCCACAATTCTAAAGTCTCAGGAAAGTTTATCAAACTGTCATTCCCTCAGAAACCCAGTTCTCACCTCCTTCCCCCATTAATACCATTCAATAAATATCTGCTGAGTGTTTCTAATCAGCAGGCACTGGGTTAGACTGGGTACACATTCCTGAATGAGACAGGCAAGTGGCCCTGTACACACAAAATTTTAACCTAATACACAGGTCAGCCAATTGGCATTTGTGGGCTTCATTCAATCAACAGGGTTTTGTTTTGTTTTTAATCTAAAAATTTCACATAAACATCCCAATTTCCAGCTTGTTTTGAATAAGTGGTACTTATACTAACACCACACTCCAACATGGCAACGCCTGTTCAGAACTGGGTGATAAAGTCACTGTTCTCACTCCCTTTTGCCCCAGTCCCCACCACTCCCAGCCGTTTTCCACCTGTCCTTCTTTGCTCACTCTTGTTACCTCTCTGGCTGTCACGGGCCTCTGAGTTTACAGCCCCCGGTCTAGTGGCTTGTCCCATAAAGCAGAGCCAGACAGGTCATAGGACACAGTGACAAAATCAGCCCTTGATGCTGTTTTTATAAGTATAGTTGTTTTCCATTTTTAAAAGCCCAGCTCCTACTATCTCCCCAACAAACAGAAGATTTTCCATTTCGCAATCCCAGTGTCAAGTTGATGACCGACCTCCATCAGGTCACACTTTTCCTGCTGAAATGGGGAAGCGAGGGTGATAGTGCCTTCGGACCCAGGGGACATACTGTACAGAAGGCATGACGCTGCTGACGGGCGTGTGGCCGAGAGGAGGAGAAGCCACTATTTCGCACTGGCAGACAGGCAGGAGGCG